CGCTGACCCGTAACCGGGGCCCCGCGCATCCTGCTCGGTCCTTCCTCGCCCCCGCCCCGCGGCCGCCGTGCCCTGCCCCCACGCAGCAGCCCCCGGGCCAGGCGGCTTGCATGCGGGTAAAGGCTCGTGGACGGCGCCCCCGTCCCCGGCTGCGGGTCAGCACGAGGGGCAGGGCCAGCTCATCCGAGCCCCCTTCGGCCGGGGGGGCAAGGAGCCGCCGCCTCCTGCCTACCCAGGCCTCCGGCGCCGCGGCTCAGGTGAGGCCCCAGTTTCGGTCCTGGCTCCAGCGCCGGCAGCAGCGCCGTGCCAAGCGCCGCGCCCCGGCCCTTATCTGGAGCGGAAGCGGGATCGCTCCCACTCCCTGCGGGGGAGGACTGGGCTCCCAGCCGAGTTTCCTCCTGGCAGGGGGCAGGGTGCCCGCGGCTGCTGGGGCCGTGGAGGAGCCTCCTGCCAGCAGCACCAGCCTGAGCCCACGGGCTGTGGGACCCCAGAGCCAAGTGGGCATCGGACATTCCCCGCCGCTAACTCCGGCCTGGCTGGCTGCCTCCAAGCCCTTGTGCCAGGAGCCGGGGCATCAGCTCCCCCCTGCGGGGCACGGAGCCACCAGCGAGGAAGGACACGAGGGCAATGACAGGCCTGCCCGGGTCAGCAGGGCACCTCGCACCCCTGGCACCCAGGAGCGGGGCCAGGCAGGGTGTCCCTGCCGCGGCCGAGCGAGCTTCCGCAGGGAACAAAGCAGCCGGCAGGCATGCGAAGGCCTGGCAGTGCAGACGGCTCCTCGTGCCTTGGGGACAGGCCCTGGCTTGCCGGCGCGCGAGCGGCTGCCTCTCAGGGCCTGGGGCCCCCTGGCTCTGCCGCACTTCCCCCACCTGGCACCAATCCTTCCGGCACCTGCGCTGAGCTGTGGGTGCACAGCCCAGGCGGTGGTAAATACAAACTGCGTGCTGCAGCAGCCCCCAAAGTGCCCTGAAACTGGGCAGTGGGGGCAGCTTCCGGCAGGGGAGGGAGGACAGGAAGGGGCATCGGTGTAAGGAGGCTTTACTGGCTCCCCGAGTGCTGCTAGAGCAGAGGGAGAGAAGCGCTGCTTGGCCCCAGGAAGATGCAGCTCATCAGGAACCTGCCCAGACTGGGACCTACAACTCCATCCATGCCCTTCGCTGCCAGCTCTGCCCTGGGCAGCATCTCCCTTGCTGCTGGGGAAAAGCCGTTCTCCCCTTCCATGCTCCGCCAGGGCAGAGCGTCCATCTCGCAGCCTGCCCCTGCCCTGCAGCTGAGGGAGGATGTGGAGAGGAGCCCGGGAGCAGGGGAGACAGTGCCATGCCGCGAGGCCCCCAGTTATGCGAGGGTCACCGACACAAACCACTCCTGTTGCAAGCAGCTTAGAAAAGCACCACTTTATAGGCAGTGCCTGGCAACGCACACAACGACAGCCCAGAGGGAAACACAACTGCCCTCCAGACCCTGGCATCGTGCCCCAGCCTCGGCCAGGCGTAACCCTCCTGCGGATGACGATAAGCAAAGAAAGCGCTTGTTACTAGTGATAGCTGCTGGCTTCCAGGTGCCAAGGTGCCAGCCAGTGGAGAGCAGCACGTAGAGGGTACAGTTGGCTTTAGGCTCTGGCAGGTGGGGGCGGCGGGTCAGGTCCGGGCCCCTTGCTAGCGTGCGACCCCCAGGAGCTGGGTCAGCTGTCGGGGAGAATGCTCCAAAGAAAAAATAGACTTTGGGAATAAGAAAAACCAGGAATTTGGTGCCGAGTCACCCTGTGAGCCCAGGGCCATGGCAGCAGCTGCTCCTGTGGAGCCGCAGACGCCGGCTGCCAGCCCACGTGTGGGGATGGAGTGGTGGCGGCGGAAGAGACACTACGGCCCTGCTCGCTGGCACCGCACAGCCCCTGGCCCGGCTCTCTGAACAGTCACACGGTCAGGAGCAGCCCCTAAAAGGAGGGGATGAGGCCTGTCCTGGCAGCTGCTACCGCATAGGCACAGGGAGACGGGGGACCCATGGAGACAGCCCCCAGGGATCCCAGTGCTCCGGGGTCTCTGCAGGAACCACAGGGGCCCCAATGCTCAGTCACCGTCCTAGTGCTCTCAGGAGCATCCTCCAGCACAGCCCTCCGGTGCAGGATCCGGCCCCGCTGGGGTGAGCAGCACTGGCCTGTGGGCCAGAAGTGCAGGGGGAAGCCTCCTGCAGCCATCTGGGGGGGCTGCAGCTGCTCCTCACAATGGGGCCGGCTCTTCTAGTGCTGCTGAAATACAAAGGACAGAGCTGGAAATCAGGGCAGCACCATCCCCACAGCACCCGGGGGTGGGGGGTATGACTGGCAGTGTCCTGGGGCACAAGGCCAGCCGTCGGGCCTCCCACTGCCCCGTGGCAGCACTCTGTGGGTAGGCAGAGCTGAGGGGTGGCTGCTGCTTTTGCAGCATCTCCTGGGGAGGATGGGACTGTGACCCTGGGGGCTGCACCCCCCACACAGGGGAAGTTGCAGGATGGACAGGCCTGGTTTCTGCAATGCTGCCCCTGTCATGTGCCCACATGAAACCTCCCCCCGACTCTAGGATCTGCGCAGTCTATGGTACAGGGAAGAGACAGGAGCAAGGGCTGGGCTGCAGGTGCCTGTAGTGCAGGAGGGAGCTGGGAGAGCCTCTGCCAGGGCACAAATGAGGGCAGGGACAGGCCCAGGCCTTGGCAGGGCACATTGGGCTGCCCCTCCAGGCCGACCTAGCTCTCTCCCCCCTGCTCCAGCCCCGGAAGGGCTGGGTGCGCTGTGGCAGCTCCTGCCCACACAGCGATGCTGCCTTTAGCAGGGCAGGGGAACCACAAACCATCGGTAGGTAACTGTCCAACCCACAGCGAGGGAACCGGCAGCCAAAAGAGCACCTCAGACCATCCCCATCCCGGCAGCTTCAATTACCCCTCCCTCTCCCTCCAACTCTGGCTGTTTTTGGCTCCATAATCATGGCTGGCAGCTTCCCGTGAGCCTCACCCTGGCCAGCCCACTGCTTGCTGAGGCACAAGAGCCTCAGACCTCCCAGGCTCTGTCCCGCCTGCGTCCTGGGGCTGGCTGGCAGGCGCTGGCGGGGCGGGGGGTGTAGCGGTCACAACATGCAGTGAGAAGGGGGGGCCCACTCGGTGGAACCAGTGGAAGTGAACCAGAGCCCCACACAGGTCTCTCCAGCCTCAAAGTGGATGTCAGAGGAAAAGGAGACGGACTCCCAGCTCTTGGGGGCTTCTGTGCCCCGTCTGGGACGTCCCATCACTCTTCCCCAGCTACACAGGACGTGGGCGGCAGCAGCAGCTGCAGGTGCCAGGAAAACCCCAGAGGGGTAAAAATGGGATAGGCCGAGTCACGAGACCACGAGGTCCTGTGATCACAGCATGAGCAGCAGAGCCTGGGCAGCCCCCACCGCTGTGCCCTGCAGGGACACGGGCAGGCCTGCAGCTTTGGTGAGCTGAGCCGAGCAGTGCTCTGCCCACCATGCCCGGCCCTCTGCTCCCGGCAAGAACTGCACTCACGTTTTACAGCCAGCAGCGTGTTCCCGTGGCAGCAGGCGACTGAGGTCACCACGCAGGGGTGCGTCTCCTCCAGCTGCACTGGCCGGGGCATCCTGGTCTCCTCGTCCTTCCTTCCCAGGCGGCCCCTGGCTCCCTTTCCCCATGTGTAGACCTCTCCATCTACAAAGCACAAGTCTGTGCTGCAGCCCCAGCTCTCTCCATCTCCCACTGGAGCACTGCAGCTGTACGAGCAGCCCCCAAGAAGCCAAGCTTAACATGCCTGCATCCAAGCCACAGGCAGAGGCTCCCTGGGTCTGCTGCAGTGCTGGGCTCCAACTCACCTGCTCCAATGGCCACAGTGAAGGCATCGCCGCAGGCGACCATGGTGACCTTCACGGCTTGGAGCCCCACAACCAGGTAGGGCACACGACTGCTGCGGCAGGTGCCAGTGCCAAGCTGCCCATGCTGGTTGCTGCCAAAGGTGTAACACTGCCCGGAAGCTGCCAAAAGAAATGGAGGAGTCAGGGGCTGGCTGCCTGCCTGCCTGCCGGCTCATCGCAGGGCCCTCACTGCTGCACCAACCAGCCCTAACCCACCAGCTGGGACTAAGGTACAAGAGGCCCAGGGCTCACTGGGTCCCAGTCCTTCTTGGGGGACCCTATCTGGGTCCCAGACGACGTATTGGAAAGAGCCTGTGCCCTGCCTGCCCAGCTATGCCTCCCACCATGTCAGGGCTCCTCAAGCCACCCCCCGGGCTGCCCTTACCTGTGACTGCAGCTGAGTGGGCTGTGCCGATGTCAGCACACACCATTGGCTCGCGGAGCAAGGGAGCAGAGCGGATGCAAACAAGGGCAGGGGCCTCTTCCACCTGGTTCTCCTGAGAAGGCTTCTCCTCAGCCGTGATGTAGTCCAGGCCCAGCTTGTTGAACCTGCAGGAGAAGAGCATGATCTGGGACTGGCTGACCCCCACAGTGCCGACACTGCTGGGGCCACGGCCGTGACGGTGCTGGGGCTGCTGGAGTTCTGCCAGAGAGGCTGAAATGATGCCTTTTCTGAGCTCCCCCCAGGACACCGGGTTAGAGGGGCCCTGGGCCGCTGCACTGTCCGACACCGGGGCACAGTGAGGGGCCTGCACAACTTACCGGTTGCTCCCACAAGCAAGGATGTGGCCACTAATGGTCAGGACCATGGAGGCATCAATGCCGCAGATGACTCCCTGCGCCTCGTGCTCTGATGGGACTGGTATCTGCTGTGGGGAATTGTGGGACTCCAGCGTCCCCAGCCCCAGCCGACCTGGCAAAACACAGGCCAAAGAAGCTGCACGGTGCCCAAGGAAACCCTGGGTGACTGGAGGAGCCCTGGTTGGGAGGGTGCAGCGGGGCAGGGCCCGGCTGCAGGGAGTTCTCAGCTGCTCTAATCCCCACCAGATACACCAGCAGCTTCTTCTCCGTGGGGAGCATCCAGGAGGACAAGTGATGACCCCTGGCCACATGCAGCAGTAGTGGTTCCAGCTTTTTACCATTATCCCCCCGGCCCCAGGCAAACACTTCCCGCTCGTTGGAGACAGCCAGGACATGTGATGCGCCACAAGCCACCTGCACGATCTCGTAGCCCAGCAGTGCCTCCACGATCTTGGGCTGGGGGGAGGGGAGAGAGCCACGTTAGGCAGTGAGCGAAGAGCTCCTGGCCCTGGAACTCATCCGCCTCCCCAAGTAGCCTGGCAGTGCAGATGCACGGGGGAGAGGACAGCAGTGGGCAGACACCCAGCAGCACAACAGCTAGGAGAGGGCGAAATGATGGGGCAAGCCCAACCCTGGGATGAGTGCCAGGGACTGTCTGTGCCCGCTCTGAGCCGAAACAACTAGGGCTGATTAAGGCCTCGTTGGAGACAGCCGTCCCCATCCCCCACCCCAACACGGCCAGGGGCCAGCTTGTCAGCTGTTAGCTAGACCTCCCTGGAGGCTGAGGGCCAGATGGAGAGCCCCCCTCCGCCCCTCCCCTGCCGTGACCCAGACTCAGACCTGACACCTCCCTTCCTCGCCCTCTCAGTAGAAAGCACCATTTGCCTATACATGGCCCCAGCCATCGAGCCCTTGCTCTAGAAGGAAATGGGCATCCCCCTCCGAGAGAGGGTCAGGGGGACACCCTGGAGAGGATCCTATGAAGGAGCCCCTGGCTGGATCTCTGGAGCT